AATCAAGTTGACTACCTATCCAACTTTTGCAATTGTCCCATTCGAAGTAATTATATTCTTGTTATTATAATCTATTTTGCAAGACCGAGAAGGTCTTCTACCTCAGCCATTACTCAGGTAGCTTCTAATTTATCCATATCCTCCGGACTTCCAAGTTGATCGAGGCATGCATATAACCTTTGTCATTACTGGAGATTACGATCTTTCTTTCGTCTTTCTCAATTGCAAGACTGAGAAGGTCTTCTACCTAAGCCTTTACTCAGGTAGCTTCAAGCCTAGCCTTTTCCAACAGAAAACAAAGTAGATTGAGGCATGGTTGCTACCTCAGTCATTAGTCTTTTCTTCCTGATTCATTTCTCGGGAAGCTTCTATCTTAGTCATAACGTATCGAGTACAAAGTAGGTAAGGCATGATTGTTACCTCAAACCTTCCTCGATGTAACAATCTTTTTTCGTATTCCTCTGTTACAAGTTGTAGAGGCCCTTTTCCCTACGCCATTATTAAGAAAGCTTCAAAGTTAGCCATTAGTATGGACTATGAAGTAGATGAAAGTACTGCTACACGAAAAGTATTCATAGGACACACCAACAGAAATAGCATTCGTATGATATGAAAAAGATCGAGGCAAGGTAAATGACGATGAGATAGAAGGGTGGAATCAAAACCACTGACATTTTATTTGGCAAACAATATAGTTACTTGTTATCCATTGGAAGAAGCTATGCAAAGGGTTACTGTTCTTTTTCGAGAGACGGCAACTAATTCGAAATCTGGTACTATTTGAAGACGAGATGTAAATTATGGGAAAAAGGATTTCTTGAGTCATGAACTACGGAGCAAATGGAATGCTTTTTGGGACAGTACTACACACAACAGTGGGAATTTGGAGGAAGATTTTGGACAGAAGATGAGAGAGAGGATGGTGATAGATGTTTTGATTGTCTTGTTGCGAAGACAACGAATGTAATTCGAGCAAACCCCATCAAGGGTGGAAATTTCCATGTCTGGATTAAAACCACTAATGACAAGGAGCGGACGTCAGTGAAAGCACAGAATAGTGATGCGAAGCAACCACATTTTAAATTTGAACAACTATTGCAACTACCTTTCAAACATGAAGGACTTGGAACCAAATTCAAGAATGAAAATTGCAGACTGTAAGGAATCATGTCATATTCGGCTTTCCAAGGTGCAGACGCTGGTAACTCCAAAGGAATTATGAATATAAACTTGCCAAGATTGTTGTTGAGCCTCCAAAATAATGGTGCACAGATTGGATTTGTGCATTCATACTTGTATTTCATAAGATCCATGTATGATAAATATTAGATATTGTTTATATCAATATGAACGATGTCTGTTCACATTTTCTCGCTTCGTACTCATTTTTTCTTTGGGACTCTCTAAAGCACGTATGATGTTTCATCTGATTCCTTCCTTTCATATTGAACAAAAATCTCGGCAAGTTTTTATTCACAATTCTTTCGAGTTACAAGCGTCGGAATCTTGGAAAGCCGAATATGACATGTTTTCTCAAACTTTGGAGTTTCTTTCTTGCTCCTGAGTTTGGTTCTGAGTCCTTCGTGTTTGAAAGGTAGGTGTATCATATCTTCAAATTTCAAACGTGGTTGCTTTGCATCACTATTCTGCTTCATTCCTAACTTCTTTTCATCGTCGTCTTGGATTTTAATCCAGATGTTGAACCATCCACCCTTGGAATTTGCTCGAATGACATTCTTTCCTTCTGCAACAAGACGGCCAAAACATTCATCACCATCCGCTCTTTCCTCTTCTGTCCAAAATCTTGCCTCGGAATTTCCGCTATTGTTTTTAGTACTGTTCCAATAAGCATTCCATTTGCTCTTTAGCTCAGGACTCAAGAAATTCTTCTTTCCATAATTTACATTTCGTCTGCAAATAGTACCAGGTTGCAAATTCCCACCTGTTTCTCGAAAAAGATTTCCAACCCTCTGCATAGCTTCTTCCAATGGATAGCAAGTAATCAAATTGTTTGCAAAAAAGTTGATGTGTCTTTCGAAATCACCACTTGAGGCACCATCACGGCCTCCACTACCATCCACAGTCTTTATTGACAGAGTATTTCTATCCGTCCTTCGTGGTAATTGAGTAAACTCACTATTTTGACTCATGAGATCTCGAGATGTCAAGATGTCTTTACCAAATGCTACAGCGTACCTCCAGGGCATATGAAGCTGAAGATGCAATGTCGTGGCAAGATAGTGCGCTAAAAGAATATTTCCAAAAAAATCATCCTTTCCACCATCGGGACGACCCTTGGCCTTGTTACATAGCTGTCGAAAAATCTCAGCATATACAGCTCGTTTGGTCGCTGATTTTATATTTGCTTTTGAATTGAATGAGAACTTCCCAAGTAGCTTGCAAAGTGGGCCAAGGAAATATACAAAAGACTTTGATTTTGGTGTATACAACAATATCATTTCGTCTTCTTGATGAACAATGTCGTAATCAAGTTTGAGGTATTCGTTCAAGTGATGAGCTCTTTGATCTGCAGCATCTTTTACCTCTTGGTTTTTCTCAAAATCATAGCTAAAAGCAAACTCATTCGTATCAACGTAATTCACAGTAGGCTCCTCGCTATCCATGATCTTTTTAGCAACATCTCTGCAATTCTGCTGCGCTTCAGCGCGATATTTTAGAAGATGTTTCTTATTGTAGCATTCGTCTATATCAGAAGACTCTGGTATAGCACCCATTGGGAACATGTCATTGTACTCCTCATGGTAAGTACGTGCAATTGTTACTTTTGATCGCAAATGATTCTTTGCCTGACCCGTACGTTCTCCAGGCTCCCATGATAAATTGGACACACCAACCTTCAAGTCCTCCATTTCAAGGTCAGATTTCTCCTTCATCTTTTTGCTCAGAAAAGCAGCTTTCTTTGAACAGAACTCGTAGTTTTTACAGAATGCTTCATGATCAGATGCACAAAATTCATGCATTGATTCTTTTCGTTCGCCATATCCCATCAGGAATTGTAGACCACTCTCAATGTAACATACGTCCTGTCTCTTCCAAATGTAGGTATGATCGCGTTCCTCTGAAAAATGAGCGTATATACCAAGATGGAAAAAGGGATCATCCAAGATTTCTAGCAATGATTTTGGTAGTATTTGGACACCTCCCATTGATTTCAGGCACTTTTTTCTAGAGTTCTCAATCTTTTCACACTGCTCCTTTGTGAGGGAGTCACAAGTAATCACTAAAATAACTTTGGCAGCTTCACAAGACTCCGTGTTTTTGTTTTTGTTTTTGTAGTGAGCCAATCTCTTCTGAAATTCACAAGTGGAACCAATCTTGTCCAATCCTTCATGGATGTACACTGCGCATCTTTTGTAGTTTTGGTAAAAGCTATCATACTTCACATGTTTGAAATTTTCGGATTTGGGATTGGTAATGTTCCCATCCTCCATCAGATTCTCCACACATTGTTTTGACGCCTCTTCTAGCTTCTTTAGTCTAACTGGACAAGCGAGACTACGAAGTTTGTAAATACAAATATCACAAGTTTCTTCGTCGGAATCAGAATCAGAATCGGCATCGGAATCCTGTAATTCATACGAATGGACATCCTCGTCATCTTCAAAATCATCCTCATCATCTTCAAAATAATCAAACTCATGGAAATCTTGATTGTTGCGGTTTATCAATGGCGGTACATCTACTTCACTATCTTGAATACCTGGACTTTTCAGTTGAGAAATACTTTGGCTATTCAATGGCGTCACATCTACTTCAATATCTTGACTATCCGATGGTTGCTGTTGTGATGATCTATAATTTTAAAAAGGTTAAAAATTAATTGTAAATGATTAATCAAATAAGAAATGCAGTACTTATATACAGCTGTGCTTACCTTGATTGAATACTTGGACTTTTCAGTTCACCATCGACTTTTGGGAGAAAGTAGAAATCGACTTGACCTCGATTCTTTTTTGGTGCAGTTCTAGACTCCTTCTTTTTTGATCCATTCTTCCTTTTAGTAGAAGATTGGGCAGACGGTCCAGAGAAGAAGGTACGGATGTCGCCGGCCTTGTGCTTCTTCGTTTCAGCATCATGATTTGATTCTTGTACATTTCGTTTGCGTTTTCGAGAATCATGGTCGATAGAAGCTTGATTTTCGTCCTGCTCACTGCTCCTGTGTTACCAAACTATAATTAATATTAAAAGGATGGAAGAGACATGATTGGAAGCAATATAGACTTACTCATTAGAGGTAGGCATTCGATTCAAATCAAAATGCTTTTCAACATGTGTCGCTTTTACTGGAGATTCCGTCTCCCCCAACGCTTGATTGCTTGATTCATTCAATGCAATCGCTCTACAGGGACTAGTAGAAAGGTTTGATGAATTTGTTAATGCACCGCGGTTTGGTGTTGATGGTGAATGGTATGCATTCTCATTGTTTTGAGGAGCTGTCCATGGACGGCATGCATTAGACGAACGCTCACACAACTGGCCAGTCGACTCTGAATCCATTGTATCTAATTCGAGACTAATCGAAGGATTCGAATTGTATTGGAATAGCAATTGAGATTTGTATTTGGAGTGCTGTGTGTGATGCAATGCCAGTGTGCTTCAGTCTAATTCAAGTGGTGGAAGAAGAGGTTTCATTTTTGGCTGTGTTGCTACAGTGTGGAAAAAGATGTCTCCGCTTGGTCTAAGCAGGCGTTCTTCAGTGATGGCTCAATTTGGCTATAGACCTATTATATATAGCTATTACCGTTTTATTTTAACTGCTAAAGACGTTTTGCTTGACCTTTGGGGTGAAACAACCTCCCCCCTTCTGAAAGAAGTACAAAGGAATAGATAGAGATGGGAAGGAAAGAGAGAGTTTTGATGATTTTTTAGATACGAGAAAAGTACGTACGTGGTAACAAAAATTGAAAAAATGAAAAAAGAACAGCATGCTCATGCATCTCAATACCTTCCTACGGACATCTCTAAAAAAGCAAATTTTTTGCTACCACAGGGGTTCGAACCCTGGCGGACTGATGTCCAGCGCATCTTAAGTGCGCCTCCTTAACCACTCGGACATAGTAGCTTGGCATTTCGTGAAGTCGGCAATAAGATATATAATGTATATTCTAAGATTTTTCATTATGACAAGAAGCAAAGGCAATATTGATGCATTAGTCTCCATACAATATAGCTTAAATTCATAAAGATTAAACATTACAAAAATAATTGACATCAAGTTCAACTAACAAAAAAGGATCCAAAGGAGAAAAGCTGCTGAGACGGTTACCAAGACGTTATTATGGTACGTACTTGTCATCATATCCTGTCATCAGCCTGAAGCTGATCGAAGCAACGAAGCGATCTCGCGATCTCATCGGCATCGTATCAACCATCAAAACCATCACTCTCTTTTCCATTCATATCCAATCAATATATTAGTCAAGATACACCAATAAAAAACATGAAACTAGGTTCGATTGTATTCCTTGTTGCACTTCTTTTCGGATGCACTGATGCTTTCACATCCTCTCCAAGTATTGGGCAACGCACAGCTCTCATTTCTTCACGTAAGGCTACCGCTATAAGAGCAGCTGCAGCTGATGGAGCTCCTAAAAAGAAGAAAGCAAAGAAGAAGAAGAAGGCAGTGAAAGCTGCAGCTAAGGAAGAAGTGGAGACTTTCCGTAAACCTGAGTTTGTTGCGAGTATTGCTGAAAAAACTGGCATGTCAAAGGTAGACTCTGAGGCAGCTCTTGCTGCTGTACTAGAAACCATCACTGAGGCAAGTATCGAGATTCTCATCTTTCCTAATCGAAATTTGCATTTTTTCTTACAGCAGATGTTTTTTTGTCATGAATAGAATGTTGCAGCTGGAAAGAAGATTTCTATGCTAGGATTTGGTACTTTCAAGCTCACACACCGTGCTGCTAGAAAGGGTAGAAATCCAAAGACTGGGGAAGAAATCCAAATCAAGGCATCCAAAACTCCTTCTTTCTCTGCGGGAAAAGCTTTCAAGGAAAAGTGCAATGAGTAATTCTTGGGCATCAATAGAATGATTCGACTCTCGTCTACGCTAGCTCTTGGGTTGACTCGATTCCTTCAAAAATATTATTTAATTTAATAAATGAATATGGCATAAATGCGTTACATAGTCTTTCTTTGTGAGAATGAAATGAATAAACTATTTTATCAGTAGCTAAACAGAATAAATACTTAGGAATCCCCAAGAGTTTTTCTTGGTTTGTTCTTGAGGAGGTTTTCATACTTTCCTCCAGTGTATTCGCCCCCAAGCTGTGTCAAGGAATTGAAAGCAATTCCAAGATCCTTTTGGTAATTCAAGTAACTTTGAGCGTACTTTGAAAGCCAAATACCAGCTCCTGGATTCTGCTTGTCGAGAATCAAATCTCCAATCCATCCGTACGGTTGCGTCTCTGGCTTTTTGACATATTTGTTCAACTCTTGAAGGTATTTGTTGAAGGTCTTTGAGTCCAAATCACCTGCCTTCTTTCCAAACGCTTGTTCTCTTGTTCCAAAAGTATCAGCGATATATGGCTCGTCATCAAATAAGCCTGGCTCATCATCTTCATCATCTTCGCCATCCTTGGCCAATTCTGCTGCAATATCTTCATCGGTAAGTCTCTTGAATTCAGACATGCGTCCCATCTTTCCTCTTTCACGGAAAGCAGGCTTCGCACTCTTTGCCCAATCCTTTGGATCCTTTTCTTTCTCAACAGTCTCCAAAGTCAACAAAGCCCCTAGAATTGCAGTCATTTCACGCTCAGTTAGTCCACTTCTGAAGAATGCACTTCTTACTTCTTCTATAGAATGAGATCCACTCAACAAATCGATTGGGATATCGGATGTGAACGCTTGAGAAGGCTTTGCATCTGTTCTTCCAACCTGAATGCTAAGATTAGGACCTCCAACAGCTTCAATTGCCTCAGTTCCACCAAGCGCAACTGCATCTGCAATTGTAATGGAAGTTAATTTCTTGAGGCTCTTTTTACTCTCCACAATTGTGTTTGCAGCTTCTTTCATGAGTTTGATGTAAGGAGTATCAGCATTTGAAGCCAGGATTGCAGAAATGATTCTTCCATCTGGACCGAAATCTCCATTCTTTGCATTGTAAGAAAGACCATCAATTACAGCCATAGCGTAAAAGATTGGAGCAAGTTGAGGTTTCTGTAGAATTGCACGGCGAACAGATTCTTTCAGAGAGTCTACAGCTGAAATTCTGTTTTCTTGATCACCATACATTGCTGGATCAAGGTAGACAACTGCATTCGCATCCTGGGGAGCAACAGTAAGAGATGTAAAGATACCTGAGAGAGCTACACCTGCTGTCCCACTAAGAAAAGAGCGACGATCGTTGTTGCTTTCCATAGAAAGAGCTGTTTTCTCACATCTTGGCACCATAGATGGAACAAAAGCATTAGATGCAGCAATAACTGCAAGAAATGCAGCAAAAGAACGGGACATATTCATTATGTTGAAATTGAATATTGGTAGAAAATTATAAACTCAATTATAATGTGAGTAAATGGCTTTTCTTGAATGGACACTGTATTTACTCTATCATAGAATGGAGACAGGTGGGTGCATTTTTTCTAAAAGATCCGATGAACACATCACAGTAACGAGGTGTCAGGGAAAAACTGACTATGTATTCTCTTGCTCGAAGAATCACCTTTGGGTTGGGGGTTGGGGTGCCAAGAATTATCTATATATGTTTAGTAGATTAACTTGGACCCCCTACTCAGAGGAGTGCGAATGTTGAGGTTGAAGTGAAAAAGTCGCAGAAGTGTCAAGCAGCATGTGTAAATTCCAGTTTTCTAGCTCAAAAACAGGAGAACCTTTTTTGTTCAACCTTCCTTCACTTCCCAATGTTCCTCTGTTTGTGTGTAAATAATACGGTATCACAAGTCCCAATCAAAACAAAATCACAGTGTTCATACTTTTTCAGGCCAGTAGATAGATAGATATAGAAAATAAATAGATAGATAGTTCATTCAGAAATATATTGAAAATGGAGCAAAGCAATAGAATTTCCGATGACTACACAGAGCAGTGTCGAAAGAGCATCAGGCGTCTATCAATGGGGTCCTCTGTTATTTCGGAGGGTAGAACAATCTATGATGAACGCAATCAGGTACTAGGTATGTAATATTCTTATATCCATGGCTTTTAATTTATTCAAACTCTTATTGATGCATTCAACCTAGACATAGAAGAAGGGCCTGAATTAGGCAAAGGCTCCTATAGTAATGTTCGGGAGGTTAGAAGATTTCACAGTCAACGAAGTCTCAGCATCTCTCATTCCACGGCCAGTGTAAGTGAAAGGAGTCTTCAAAGTGCATCTACAGTTTTTGATCCCAACACAGATCCAGAGTCTAGATCTTATTACTATGCCGTGAAAAAAGTAAGACAAGATCTCACTGGTTCCGGAAGAAAGCATGGTGAGTTGATATTGCTTCTAAATGGGCTTTGTATCTTTCAGTATTTTGCTCATCTTTTCTTGATTTTGCAGCTGCAATAGATTTAGCCGTCGAAGCACAATTTCTCACTTCTCTCTCACATCAACACATTGTGAGTATTGAAGGAGTAGGTGATGAGCCAGGAAGCAAAAACTTTTTTATAATCATAGAGAGATTAGATAGAACACTTTCCGAACAGATCCGAATTTGGCAAATAGATACCCGTCGGATTACAAGAACGATGGATCGCTCAAAAGTAAAATCAACTATGGCGAGTAGAATGAGTTCACGTATTTCGTATGCCAAAGACTTGTCGTGTGCTCTTTCATATCTCCATGAAAAGAAGTAAGTCAAGCTTGTATTCTCTTTATTTACATTAGTCATCATTTTGATACCAAATCTCACCATCATATTATTTGTGCTCACTTTAGAATGATATTTAGAGATCTGAAGCCCGAGAATGTTGGATTCACTCACGAAAATGAAATCAAATTATTTGATTTCGGTCTAGCTCGTGAGCTCCGAGAAGAAAGAAAAGTCGGTAGAGTCAAGTTCCTTCTATCTTTAGCTGGTACAAGGCGTTACATGGCGCCTGAGGTCATGAAAGGTTCTCCTTATGGTCTGCCAGCGGATGTCTTTTCCTTTTCACTTCTACTATGGGAGATGGTACATATGGAGAAACCATTTCGCAATCTGGATGCAAAACAGCATGAGCGAGCTCTAGTCCTATGGCGTAGTCGACCAAAGGTATCAAGCGAAGTGCCAAGAGCAGTGAAGAGTATAATAGTGAAATCTTGGAACAACGACGCAAAATGTCGTCCAAGAATGGAGAGAGTTCTGGAGAAATTACAGTTACATCTAGAAAGTATTCCGTAAACTGTCAACCAAGTTAAAAAATCAAAAGTGTGAAAAGGTTCAATCGTTTTCACCATAATCAATAGATATTAGGTAAAATAAAAAGAATACAACATTGGTTCTCTAACTGTAGTTTTGCATATAATTAGACTTGTTTTTGAGTTTGGAGGTAGTACAAGAGCTACCATGTTATAAGCTATTCTATCTATTTCAAAATTCGCATAGGTGACATGGTATTGTTTCTTTATAGGGGAAACCCTTTTTAAAAAGGTACCTTACATATTAATCGTAAACATTCGTGAATTTACTATCTCATTCCATAAAACTAGCATTTAACCAAACAGTAGTACAGTACATTACAGTAACCATACAATAACAACATTACTGTTCTCTTTTTCAGTAGTTTTGAGACAATTCTGACACTGTGAGAAGCCCTCTGATTTGTCAATCGTTCGTGACACTTTGGGAAGCAGATGAACGATTATCAAGACTTACATCAAGCTAATTTCCTAGAACCCCTATCACAATGAAATCGGAGAAATAATAAATTTGTTTGTCCGGGTGCATCCCATCCAATTTTTGTAAAAACGCCCTACCAACAAAGCAGCTGCCACGCTTCCCTGAACACAAACAAGAAGGAAGTAGGGAATTCATCCAATACCTACCTTCGCCTCTTCATTCATTCAAGAACAGAGAACAGAGGGCACCATAGATATATTCCCTTCCTAAAAAATTATTTTTCCTCGATGAACATTGA